GAAGGCTCTGAATGCGAAGTTCCTGGCTTGAGGAGCTAGACAGATCCTGTGTCCCCGGCTGCTGCCCACAGGGAGGGAAACTAGCGTGAGGGCCTGTTGTGAGTTCGTGTATCACTGACAGAACGTTAGATGCTAGCGTGGCTTCCTCCACGAAGTATTCTCATAGGAAGCACAAAGTTAGGCCTGCAACACAGGTGAAAGGAGAACATCTAGGTCAGAAATATCATGAAATGTAAAAGCATATGAAATTTTTTTGGTTTTTGGTTTTTTTGGGGGGGTACCGAGGATCGAATTCGGGACCTTGTGCTTGAGAGACAAGCGGTGACACACACCACTGAGCTAAAAGAGTGTATGAAATGTTTGACAGAGTATTATGTCCTCTCTTCAAAACACTCCAGAAAAAACATAGAGAAGAGGTGATCTAAACTATTCAGAAATATTTGCTTGTGGTTGATTTGTTTGAAATCAGAACTATTTCATGCTACTTGAACTTAGAAAGTACCTAAATGGCTTTATAATTTTTTAACGTAAGAACTATGGGTAAAAATAGAAAGAGAATTGCTCATGGATTTTTATCAAATATGTGATTTTTATTAGAAGTTTCCACTGACTTAGCTGCCAGAAGAGAACAATTCCGTGACAAGCCTCATCTTCCTGTAAATGCAATAAGTAGCCCTGGTTATTTAACTTGCATCTTCCTCTTATAAACCATTCCTCTTCCTGAGCTTAAACTCTAGGGTGACTTTGTAATCCTTTCATTTTATGTGGATAATTTCATTCGGCAGTTTTTAATCATTTATCACTATTTGAAGTATGTTAGCTGTTTTTAAATAAGTAAAACCAAAATGGGGTGAAACATTTTCTCTTAGTATAAGTTTAAATTTTGATAATTCAGGAATGAGTTTTTGGCTGACAAAAGTGTTACATTCTGATGGGAATTCTGCAGTGCTGAGTAGTTTCTAAGAGTTTTGACCTGAAGATGAGTTAGAATTAGTTTTTTATGGGGTGCTGTATTTCTTGGCTATGAAATGCAAATCGATATTAAGGATTTGTCTGTGTTTGGTGGTACTAAAGTATCTTCATGCACCAAGTTAACCAAAGGACTTCCTATTACCTGCTATATTTCATAAATCCCAAAAGAACTAAAACATTTTGGGTTGGCGTTTGGATTTTCCCATGGTTAGTGCACACGTTAGTCAGTTTGCTTATTGAGGCACAGTGCCCAACACTCACAGTTTAAAAGAAACGAGGCTTAGTTTGCTCGTGGTTTCATTCCATCATGCCAGACTCCAAGGCAGGAGCATCATGGCAGGAGGGCGTGGAAGAGCAAAGCTGCTCATTTCGTGGCGGCCAGGAGGCAGAAGAGGGGAGCGGCCCCAGGGAGGAAGGGGAGAGACCAGACACAGGCGCCAAGGCCTCACCTCCATGACCACCACGCACACCCGGAAATGTGCTCCACCAGTTTCCCAGGTGGATCCCAAAACCAGTCAGGCAGACGTCATCCACCCTAACTCCTACAACTCGTAGTTCCATCAGTGGCTCCATTCCTGGGCTCCTCCACGGAGGGACAATGATGGCACCTGAGGCTGAAGGATGGGCTGGGAAATCGGGTCATTATTAGGAAGGCATTTATTTGAAGTTGAATATCTTTGAAGAAAAGTTATGTTGTTTTTACATTTTTTTCCTCATTGAGTTTATAGGTACATTCTAGGTATACAGTACAGTTACATGCATCATTGGGATCCTGTACCTTTACATGACAGGTCTTGGTTCTCATTTCTTACACTTTTGAATGCCATGTTGCTTATGGCCTATGTGAACATTTGTATTAAGTGCATTTGATGACTTCTGCTTTAAATGTAATTCTGCTGTCAGTGAGCTCCTCCATTCTGTTCACATCGTCCCAGCAATCAGAAGTTGACAGTTTTGTGCTGGTTTTGCAGTCCAGGTACCATTAATTCACCATTAATAATGACTCCATCTACACCTGCTCCATCACTCAGTCTCTTAAATGTGTTGTTTCTGCTTTTCCATCGGGTTTCCTTAGAAAATTCAGGGCAAAAAAATTGAAAGAAAACACTAGGTCCTGAGACTCTTTCCATCAGTCTCAGACTGGCACAGAAAGAACACAACTTCAGGAAAGTCTGATCACTTAGCTGGGGAAAGGGGTGGAGATGTTTCCAAAACATACTGGGGTTCTCCATCCTGGAAGCCTTGCCCTAACTGTCCCTGCAGCAGAATCCTCTCTCCCTGCTAATCTACTACAGGCCCAGGTCTCCCCGGGCCTATGTCTGTCTCCCTTCAGGAGCTGGATAACATTTGTGCATTGGGGTAGATTTTTACTCTTCAAAGCTACTCTGTTCCAGGAAATAAAATGACTTTTTATTAATTTTTGCACAGTAAATGTATGTAGTTTTCATAGAGCATGCCAAAATAGTTTAAAAATGACACGATGGAAAATAATTAGCCAAGCACTTTGCAACTTTTAAAGACAGAATTTAAATGCAATTTCAAACACTCATAAAAACAGTCTTTATCTGCTGCTGACTATGACTAATTTTGCCTCTGCTAGGAAAATCTCAGGGTGGAAATTTCCTGAGCTGATAGGAGGTGGTGCTGAATTAGAGCCCTCTCAGGAGAAGGCAGGAGTTAAAGAATGTAACTGCATTTATTTCTCATTAGTTATATATCCAAAATAACATTAAAGAGTAACTTTCTAATTTCCCAGTTGTAAAAGTAGTGGATCAGTTTTTCCACTCAGCTTTTCCTAGCAGAATGGGAGCAAACGCAGACTCAAAATGAAGGCTCAACTCACAGCACATTTCAGATTTTTTTCCATGGGAAGAATGCCGCCTTTCTCTTTTATTTTTTTTTTCTTCCAAGTTCACATCATCCTTTCCATGGCCCATGATCAGGGATACTCTACTCCCAGATCTCTAGCAGAAGTTCTTGGGCAAGAGTGATTCATGGGCCCGGAATCACGGTCTGCCAGCAACAGCCACTCCTCTCTCCACTGACCCTTGGGAAAGCTAGATTGTCTCTTTGCTATTAGAAATCTTTTATTCCTTACTTGTATTAGTGGACACCCCCAAAGCTACAATTCTAATTTACAGTCATTTAACCCAGTGCTGGTGGAGGACAGGAGTAGAAGTTGAAGGGACATTGGTTCCTATTAATAGCTTTCATCCCCCTGCAGCTTTTACGAAGGGAAGTTCTATCTCTTGTGCTGCTTTTCTGACGTCACCCTTGACTTTGTTTCTTCTTGTCTCTTCCTTTGACATTTATTTTTCACTAAATCCAAAGCAACACTTTATAAGGTCAGCTATAGAAGCCGTAATACTGCAAAAACAAACCATTCAAAAGTTCAGGGTGCTGTTTCCATGGATCTGTGGGTGCTGTGGGTGACTCCACTGCACACATGTGTGGGCTGTGTTGGATCCTAGACTTCAGGCTGGCTTCACCTGCTCCCTTTGTGTCTGCCCAGACTGCTAGGAACAGGAATACCCAAAGCTCATAATAGGCCACAGAAGTAGGCAAGAATCCACCCATCTTCTAGGACCTTGAGTTTGATTTAAGAGTAGACTTTGTGAAATCAGTTCAATGTACTTGGTTGCCTGTTTGTTCAGTTTGAATCAGGAGGAAGACATGGCTATAGTGGAAAATTGTTTTTACTGGTAGATTGAGAGAGATTTCCCAAAATAAGGGAGGCCATTGTCCTACTTTGTTCTTGACAAGTCAGCCAGCACATGGAGTGTTGCGTTAACTTTGTGTCACCTATTTTTCACACGTTCAGCTTAACATGTTCAGTGTTCAATTAGAACTGGACAATGAACAGATGAAGACACCCAGAAAGGTGACTTATTTGGAATAAGAGGAAAAGTTCAAGGAACAACTGGCTTTTATTTTAAATAAGAAAGATGAAGTTTAACAACGTTTCTTAGTAAGCATATAAAATATTGCTATGACAAAATATGACTTTTATTATAGGTATCCAAACTTGGAACAAAACAAGAATGGGTTGTTTTTAGTATAGGTATAACTATAATTACTGTTATACTTAATAAAATAATATATGCGTATTTGTATAATTTGATATCTGTTCTCCTGGAATTGGGAAAGATCACATAGTTTTCAGCATTACTTGTAAACTTAATATTCCAGAATGCAATTATATGCTCCTAGCTTTCAAAAGAATTATGCATATATTTTCCCTACTCATTTATTCACTCATTTAATTTTTCATTCAGCTAATGTTTTTTAGAATCTACTAAATGTCATATATTAATTTTGGCACCAGGGATGAAGCAATAATCAAGAAGAGTAAAATCTTTGTTCTTATGAGTAGTCTTATATTCCAGTAAGGGAAACTGATGATAAACTTGCAAACAATCTGAGATTGAGATAAGTTCTATTAGGAAAATAAGTGTCACTGAGATGATGTTTCAAAATGTAAAATATGTATTGTGTGTGTGTGAACTGTTCCTCCATCCTGTCTCCATCTCTTTTGATTTCCTTTCATTTATAAGGCCACATCTCAGTGCTTAAATCCTGATATTGCAGCAAAGAAAAAATATCAACACCTACGAGACAGGTCTGGTTCCAGCCTTGGCTTAGCCATTCACAAGCGGTGTGAGGTTTTTTTTTTTTTTGAAAGTTGATTTTTCCCTTTTTTTAAATTAGTCTATGTTTGTAGTACATTCCTCATGTAAAGTTACTAAATCTACATGATATTTTAATTCTTTTAAAGTTCCCTCCTCTCCCTTTTCCTGCCTCCATTTCTTGGTCAGCTGTGTGATCTTGAGCAACTCAGACGCTTTGACTCTCACTTTCTGCTATCTGGTGGTTATTGAATGCTCCCCAGTGGCCCATGTGGTAAAAACTTGGTTCCCAGGGTGTCACCATGGAGAGTTTCTGTGGTCCTTTAAGGGGCGGAGCCTCGTGAGAGATCCATAATTCACTAGGGGAGCTGTCCTCAAAGGGAATTGTGGGAGCTCCGCTGAACTTCCTGTCTGCGTTTTCCCTTGAGAAGCAACATGGCTGCCACTCCAACATGGCTGCTGTCATGCGGAGCACCCTCACCAGACACCCAGGTAATTGGTTGCCCAACGTAGACTCAAGCCTCTAGAACTATAAACCAAAACAAAACAAAAAATCTGTTTTCATAAGCAACCTGTGTCTGGTATTTTGCTGTAGTAACAGGAAGCAGATTAGTACAATATGGGAAGTGGAGATCACAGTCTTAGGGACACCATGCAGTGACTCGTGAGATCATCGCCTTTCTAACCATTTCCCACTTGCAGCTCTTCACCTTCCACAGATCCGTTTTTCTCCTCGTGAATTATTCTTTGGCAGGAAGCTGACTCCCAGGGACTTCTCTGGTTTCTAGGATTGATTCACTTCCACTTCTACTCCACCAAGAGAGGTCAGAGAATGTCTTCCCTGACGGACCCGCGCCCTGCAGGTGTATTTAGCACTAACTGCAAATGTCCACAACCAGACCTTCCAGCAAGAGGCCTCTTTCCACAATTCCTGCTTTCTCTGTGTGCCTTTGGGGTACAGTAGGTCACTCTTTGACCCTTTGTTCCTAGGACCCGCAGGCACTGTAGTTAATGTGTGAATTACTCAGCATCTTGTCAGCCCACACACCTATCCCAAAGCAGTCCTTATTTGAGAAACCTCAAACAAAAGTAAATAAATAAAGGAGAGATGGTAAATAAGGGGACGGCGGTGGTGAAGGGGATTAAGGAAAGGGGAGAGGTGAGAGGGAAAGGAAGGTAAAAAATGATCAAGATATGAAATATTTATAGTTACCAATTCCCCAAAGCAAATGTAATTATCGTGTATCACAATCATATACCAATAAAAATAAGTTAATTTTTTAAATACCCCAAACATAGTCCTTCAGTAAAATATCTTCATTTAAACTACCGAAGGAGAATTCTATGCCTCGTACAGATTCTGATTGACAAAGGTACTTAAAACCATGAGTAGCCACGTAAAGTAGATCTTCAATTTGGTGTTCTGGACCTGCTTTGTTAAATTCCGTGGTAAATGCTTAGTCTTCTGGGAGGAAAATGGACTGCTGGTCAGGTGGTAGCCAGTCTTGGCAGGAGATGGAGGGTCTGATATAACAGCTTTCATGCTTTGTTTCCATGGCAACATGATAATGTAAAAAACAATAGAGGTGGCTAGCTATTTATGACTATTCTGAGAAACTTACAAAAAACCCTCAGAAAACAAAAATTAACCAAATAAAAAGACAAGTAGAGAGGCATAAATTTACAACCCCAAGTGTTCATGGAAAACTAAAAAGCTCCTGCGATGACCTCCAGTGTCCTTCAATGAATCTTTTTTAACCTAATAACTACAGGGCAGACATGCTTGAGGATTGGATCAAAATATAATTGTGCAGGTTGCAGAATTGCTTTAGTTTATAAATGTACAACATTCGCATGGGCTTTATGATAAGTGCAAGGTGTTGCTTGAACAGATGGGCTGTGAAATTTATTGATGAGGAAGTTTAGATAGACTTGAAGGTCTGAACATTGATTCCCTAATCACCCCAGGGTCATTTGGTGTGAAGAAGCCTTTTCTTATTTGAGAAAAATAAACCTTCCATGCAAAAAGATCCTTTAAAGACCTCATCTGGGCTTCTGACTCACTGAGAAACACCAGTTCTTCTTAAAACCCATCCCAGTTGTCTGTCACTGCCTCTGTCCCCATAGTGTGGACTAGAACTCAACATCCCTCAGATGGAGATTACTGATCCTACTTCCAGAAGAGACAAAGAATTCACTGTAACACCAGAAGGATCTTTGAAAACTACATCCGAAACCTGCTGAGCTGTGTGGGCTTAAAGGGTTGACAGTGCTGAGGTAGATTTATTATAGACAACCCACACACCTTTCTTCTGTGTCCACCAGGAATTGCCTGAAAACAAGTACTCTTTCCACCAAGGCAATAGAACATTGAGAAAGTTGACTAAGGAAATACTGGTCTCCTTGAAAAACTCTAAGTATGGCACCTTTGACACATTGGCAGCCAAGGAATCCTACCTGTGTGTTAGGTTCCTGTGTGTTTAAAGGGGAAAGGAAATAAGAGAAAAGAAAAAAATATGAGAAAATGAAAAAAATGGAAGTAAAGTGTAAATAGGGAAGGAAGGAGGGGGTGTAGGAAGAGCAGGAGTAAGGGGAAAAATGAGAACCAAGACCTGTCATGTAAAGGTACAAGATCCCAATGATTAATGTAGCTGTACTGCATACCTAAAATGTACCAATAAACCTAATGAGAAAAAAAAAAAAAAAGGAATAATGCAGTTTAGAATGGAAAACTCCACATGCAGTGCTTCCGCCCAGAGAAAAGGCGGCTGCAGTTTCCTTACCTGGGATGAAGTAGGTAGTTGGGGTTCTGACCTGCAGAAATCTGTGTCTGTGGCCGTGACAGTGTCCCAGGAGAAAAGCAGATGGGCGATGACCACTGTAACTGGATCTACGTACGGGAAGAAGTGGCTTCCAGGTTAACAGAGACCTGGCTTGAGTCAGTAGTCAGGAGGCTCTCGGGAGGGACCCTGGAAGTTACCCTTGGAGGAGGGCTTGGGCCCCATAGAGTGACCCGTGTCTCAGAACCCTCCACCTCCCATGGCCACTCCTACAGAAGTGATGTCTTGATGTAGAAAGGAACACAGCCTGGGTTCCTAGGAGGAGGCAGACCTACACAGAAAGAATAAATAGAGAGAATGTGCACAGTATTACATGGAAAAAGCAGATTACAAATTGTTGTGTGTAAAAAAAAATCCATATATACATATAGGTCCACAAACTATACACTTCTATAAATGGGATGAATAATAGACATGTAAATTCCAGAAGAAAAAACAGAAAATTTCTTAATAAGTGATGGAGAAATTTCACTTGTAATTGCTTATATATCAGCATTTCTTGAATTTCATATATGCACATGAAAATTTAATAATTAAGAACAAGAACAAACTATTAAACTTAAAGAATTTAAAGGGCTAGAGGCCCTAGGTTCTGCTTTGGGAAAAGCTATTCTAAAAGTACTAACATATTTCCATTTTTAAAGCCAAATTTATAATACACTGTCTGTAATACCTTATACTTTTTATGGCAAGCTTATCATTATTATTATTATTATTATTATTATTATTACTATTATTATTAGCTAACTTGCTCTCAGGTTTCCAGATACAAATGATTTTTTTATGGTAAGGTGTTAATCCATCTAAAAACTCCAAATTTAAGAAATTTTATAACAGATATTTCACTGAGGTGTTAAGTTATTCTGAATAAATGCTCAGTTGACATTAGGACCAAAGAGAATTCAAACCACCCAGAGCCTTATAAAGTATTCTAAAGTTCCTTTTCGCAATAGAGGTGGTTTATAAACTCCCTACTCCGCACATCCCCCCTGGATAAAGCTTCCAGGTGAGCTAAACTTTATTCCTAAAGGCACCGTTGAAGTTCAAAGACCCACGGTTACAGACTCCAAATTAAGAAATGACTACTAACAAAATATCTGCACTTGGTTCCTTTTGCTTCTCTCTGTAACGTGAGCGGGTTAGGAAGAAGGGTCTTAGAACTCCCCTGGCCTCCTTCCGGGCGGGGTCACACCGAGGGCTGCGTCTGCCCTGCGATGCCTCAGCTCGACAGCAAACTGACCCGGAGAGTAGTCAGGAAGTGTGGTTCAGCCAGTGAGTGTGGCTGGCTCTCATATCCCGTGTTACTTTTAAGAACAAAGCCTACATGTGTTGGGCATCAGCGTCGTTCTTACAGCAGGGGTAACTAGGATTCTTCTCCACACGTCTTAGCTCAGAGGTGAGCATTTTCCAGAGAGGACCTTTGGCCTAGAACTCGGCTTTCCAATCCTGTTCCCTTTTTCTTCTGGGAAGATTGAAGGGGCTTATTTTTCTGGTTTGATTTATTCACATAAGGCAGATACCTATTTTGAATTTGAACCGTATGGTTTTTATCACTTGGTTTGGGTGTGTATTTGTTTTTATCTGGGCTTTGCTTTTGGTGTGTAAATGATTGCAAACGTGGTGGTTTTCAGAAGAGCACAGTGGGTGTCACGCAGGAAATGAAAAGTTTTCTCTCCACCCCTCAGTAGAAGCAGGGGGTCTTGCACTCTGCAGTCTGCCTCTTCCCAGCTCTCTGAGTATGCTGCGTGGTTAAGTGTGCTAACCCTTGCCTCACCTGATACAACGTGAAAACCGGCCTAGCGTTTCAGTACACACGCTGCTGCTGGAATTCAGGAATAAATACTTGAAAAACGAGACTTTTGGCTGGATTCCAGAGACGGCAGTGGTCTTTCCGAAAGGGTGCTCAGCGCCGAAGTGCTGTGGGGAGGCACCAGGCTTGAAGGAGCCCCTTCGCGCACCCTATTGGCGGCTGGAATTACTGGAGCCTCGGTACTTCCACAGAGTGCGCTGTGAAGGTCAGCGTCATGCAATTCAGGAGAGCTTTTTTTGGAGATGCATCCAACTTGCATGTTAAATGCACTTCCTGGTAACTCCTGCTCCTCGGAAAAGCGGCCTTGCCCTGGAGGTCTGCAGTGGGCAACCAGGCGCTGCTCCACGCGCAGGGCTCTGGCTCTCAGCCTCCGCTGCGGGCCCGTGCCGAGTCCTAGCTTCTCTTCCCCGGATCCCTAACCGTGGGATGGGCCGGTCCCAGACTGTGCCCTTCGCACACTGAGAGAGGCTGGGCGCCATCCTCCTGGGCTCCACGTCGTTCTGTTCTCACCCTCAGTATGGCAGAGCCAGCCTTTTCCAGCAGTCGGCCACACTGCCTGTCTTGAAAGCATTTCCTTTTCAAAGCTAAAGTTAAAAAGTGACTGCCTGTTTTATTACTTGAGTATTGTACCTTGGGGATATTGCTCCCTCTCCCCACCCCTACCCCGTCTCTCTCTGACCCCCGCCCCGTGTTTTGGTTTAACTCTATGCTGTTTCATTATCTATTCTGTGCCAGCAACTTGCGAGGTTTGAAAATGCACAGGGGGTAAGGCTTGTAACAATCTTATAAAGTGGATTTTATAGTTCACAATTTAAACCTGAAGATATTTGGGTTCTGAACATTTGAATCATTGTCCCAGGTAAGTAATAAGTAACATACACAACAATTAAAGTTTAACTTCAATTAAAGCATTCCTCTTTTTCTTACAAATTCTTGCTATCTGCCTGTTCATAGCATGAAATCTGAGGAATAAAAAAACTGGGTGTCAGAGACTATGAGAAAGGGTACAGGACTGACACTATTGGGAAAAATTCTCAGAAAATATTGTGGGTTAAAGCATGAGTCCTGTAACAGAAAAGGGGTCACTTGATGCACGCTTTCACATAATCATAACTTGTTGAATGTGATGTAAGTGTAAGAAATCATTGTTGGCATTTTCACTTATGAGATAGCAAGGCTCTCTGTGCAGTTGACTTTGACTTATTTCTTTTGTTCCACAAAGTAACTTGGGCTGGTTTTGTGTAAGAACGATGCTGCTGGCAATAATGCCCACGACCGTGTCCGGGGAGTGGCAGACCTCACTGGTGGCCCTTTACAATGTGTCAACCCGTGCAGGTGAGGAAACTGACTTTCAGGAGGGCTTGTGCTCAAGGTCACACAAGGGCGAGTGTGGAGCCAGGCTGAAAATCTGGGGATCCCCTGGTTTCACCCCAAGTTTCCTCCTTCACCTGGACCCTAGGATACTGCCTCTATAAAGATTAGTTTAAATGTGATTTTAAGTGGTCTTTGTCATAAACAAAAGAAACAAAAATGATTAATTTTGGAAACTGGGGGCACTGAATAGTCAAGATTCAAAACTTTATTGCCCTTGATTTGTTCACCTTGCCTGTTCAAGTCAAGAAGAGAGAGAACAGTTTCCCTCATCACGTTGCTACTGTTTTCCCACTGTTACTTCTAGGCAGCTACTCTTGGATAAAACAAAATTTACAGCTGTTGTGGTTTGGAAAACAGTACTTCAAAACACGCCCTTGAGCTTGCCTAGTGTTGAGCTGAAGGAGACAGGAGCGAAGTCTCCCTGACCGGCTCCTGCCCTCCTGTCTGCTCCTGTTCCCCACCATGGCAAAGCTCTCTGGTCCAACAGTCGATTATAAGAGGCTTGTTTCAGAGGGGCGAGGCTTACTCTGTACCAGGAGGGAGGAAAGTTACACCCAGAGGCCTTGGGCCTCGCCAGGTCCCCCTCGGATCTCACCTCTGCATCATATGTTTCTGTCCAGTTGCATTTCTACACAGCTGTCTACGCTCAACAAATCCAGGGATAAACACTGAGCTTTCTGAGGGTCTTCACTTTTGAAGGCTCCATGTCATGTAAATCTTTGGTGAAGTAGATCCGTTATTGTCTCGGTCTGTTTTCTGTTACTAATAACACAGCATCACCGACCGGGTGTGTTATAAAGACAACAGATTTATTTCGGCTCTCTATTCTGGTCCATGGTGTGGTGATGGCTTCATTGCCGGCAGATTTTCGAGGTGACATGTGGCATCAGGTGGCAAGAGACAGGTAGACTCCGACGGGAGTTTTGCGGGGTACAGACCACACTCAGGCCATGGCAGTGAGCCTCCCGATCTGCCTTCAGTTACCGTGGCAGTGTCATGGCAGCAAGGACAGGAAGTGCTCCATCCCACGCCACGTGGTCCCCTCGCTCCTTCCCCTGGGTTGCTATTTTCATCTTTCTCCCACCCTTACTAAAGGTGTGTTACCTGCTCACTGCTACTCTCATAGGCTCAGTGAAGCTGGTGAAAGTGACTCAGAACGACAGCGCTTCAACACTGCATCACGTCCTTGGCCTTAATTTCCTTTCCATGTCTGCTACCTTTTCCTGTGGACCCGTGTAAAATGCACCCTTAACCCTAACCTACGGCTAACCTGTGAAACCCATGTTTTCCTTATGACCTTGACTTCCGATACAATTTTTGTTTCTGTTTTGTTTTTTTACAACATCTTGGCATCATTTTACACCTTGTAAAACTCCTCCTTCTCAGCCCCAAGGTCAGGCTCTCTCACAGTGGTTCCTGCACTTCCTTCCCTGTGATTGTTGACTTCTGTGGAATACAGAATCTTCTGACACAACGGGAATGGGAACAGTCGATCGGAGAAAAAGGGGTAAAGCAGTGATAGAAATGGGCAGCTTGTGTGAAAAGATTAGAGAGTCGGTGAGGACTGGAGAGTAGCAGTGAGGGGGTGAGAAGGTCCAGGGGATGCATGTTGGAGTCACGGTAATTATCATTGTAAGACGTGAGAGACTGCAGCATGTTTATGTGCTTATAGGGAGATGAGAGCGAGGGAGAACACGACTGAAGGGGTGCTGTGCAGACAGAGCCCAGACTGGACGAAAGCTCGGGACCCGGAGTCTTAACGACAGGAACTCGATTTCTTATATGGAGAAGCAACAAGAAGGGGGAAGGCGGGAAGCGGTCGAGGAGCGATCTTTTCCATCAGGTTTTTAGGTTTCCAGGTTGTAACCCCGCCCACCGCGCTGATGAGAAACGGCATGAACATGGGCACCACCCCACCTTGCCAGGTAAACCTCTCTTTCCGTGTCATGTCTTAACATCCACAGCAGTGAAGGTTTTGTGTGTTTTCTGTACTGCCTTGGACGTGTTGACCCCGTAGGGGGTCTCACAGTCTGTCCATCAACCTTGAAAGAGGCTACAGAAAATCTTGTTACTTTGTAGCCATTTCACCCCTAGAAAACATATTGTCACTTACCCAAAGGGAATGTATCAGGTTGGCTCAACTCTTTCCATTGTAACTCAAAGCTGTGAAGTCTTGGTACCCACACGGCAACAGCATGTTAGAAGCTAGGACCTGACCACAAACCCTGCTCCCTGATGTTAAGGAAGTAAGGGGGCAGTAGTGGAATCCACTAGACCCCGTAAATATGCACTAGTATGATGTGTCGATTGAAAACACAATGTAAGAAAAAGAGGGCGAGTGAGGAATGAGCGTGTGTGCCCTTCCTCTTTTGTGCTGGACAATTTGCTGAAGATTCTTCCTAAAAAGGTTCAGTTCTCCCATCGTCCACTGCCCTAAGGGGTTTCTTCAGCATCCGCCCTTTTGGCAGAACCATAATTAAAGCTTTCATTCCTCTGCTCTCACGCCACTGAAACTGCTGACTCTGGGGTAAATTCTGATTCCCTTTGTTTCTCACTGGCAGCCACGGGCCAACCTGAGAACCCTTTGGTGCCTGGTGTTGCTCTGAGCCCAGTTCTGAGATGTCGTGCTAAGGTACACGCACACACGTACACACACACACCCACACCAGCTGGACTAAACCCAGAAATTGTCTACAGCGACTCCAGTCACCAACAGCAGCAGTGTTGTCTACTTCCCCCTATGCCAACCTCTCACCTCCCAAAGGAGAGCCGTGTGATGTGTGGGTCCCACACACCGATTCTGTTAAGCAAAGGACATTTCTTGGCTGTGGCCACAAGGTGAGAGCCCGGGAAGGGAATATCAAAAAGATGCTTGAAGGAAGGAAACAAATCAAACCAGAAGGAGGCTGGGGCCAAGGTGAGAGCCCGGGAAGGGAATATCAAAAAGATGCTTGAAGGAAGGAAACAAATCAAACCAGAAGGAGCTGTCACTCACTGTCTAAAATGAGTCACCAAGCGGAAGGGCAGGTTGCAAATTCTAAGAGCGGTGGTGACAGCCTGGTTTCTATACTACTTACCTTTCTCTTTCTAGTCTTGCCTCTTCCAACTCAAACTCTGCACCCCAGCTTGCATTAGCTTCTTACAAGACACTCTATCTGGTTGCCTAATTTAAGGCCCTCTGATAATGCCTCCGCTTTGGTCTTGGGATAAAGCCCTGCATTATTTGACCCAGTAGTGGGTTTCATCACCTTCACTCCCGTCTTCGCATCCTCAGGCAAACTACAGATTACATCTGCACATCTGCTACAAAGAGAAAGAAAAGGGGAAAAGAAGAAAGCAAAGCAAAGCAAAACATCCCCAGCGGTTTCCTGTTGCCTGAAGGTTTGGAGTCCAGGTTCGCTGCCTACCTGGTCTCCACTGTGTCCTGTCACTTCTGTGTCTAAGCTCTGCTTTGATGAGTCACAGGCCCTGCCTCGTTGCTGTTTCTCTCTTTTCCCATCTCTCCCTCACGCCATCCTTCGCAGGTCTAGTTCCTTCCACTTGAGGCTACATCCCACCTCCTTCATGTGTCTTTACTTAATTCTTCCCATCAAGAAAAAAACGCCTTCACTGTCTTGTTACGGCCTTTTACCCCATACTTGAACTCCCTTTGTTCGGGCATTGCCCAGCCTGCCCCATCTCCTCTCCCCGGCTTCCTGAACCCCTCTTCAGCTGCAAACAGGGAGCTGTATCTGATTCGCTGCTTGCTGTTTCAAGCACCCCGTGTGCGGTCAGCATCCTTAGTCGGAACTAACTCAGCATACTTGTGCATTAAGCAACTGTCCACGGTCATCAAGATCAATCCGTCCAAGAATCTGCAGAACCCAAAGGACTACTGACTTCTTTTGTCTTTTGCGGGCAAAGCCGGAGTGCCAAACAGTCCTAGAATAAACGAATTACGTTCCAAAAGCTGAAGAATCACAAAGCAAAGAGAATAACAGGGAGATGATCACACCAGGAGCTGACTGTTTTGCCCCGAAGGCTTCCCGGCCTTTAATTAAACAGTTTAACCATGGGAGGCAAAAGATGGAATGTGTTCCTAATTAATGCTTTAACCTCATTATGCTCCCAGGCCAGGAAATATAATAACTGCAGAAGAATTTGGAAATTGTTTCCACAGAGATCATGGCAAGGTTTCTTTCTTCTTTTCTTTTATTATGAAATTCGGTTCCAGCTCTGGAGAAGCCTGTGCTTTCTGCTGAGCGGATACCTGAAGCCCCAGGGGTCAGGACTAGAAAGGGGCAGCTTGCTTTGGGCGAAAAGCATCACCACCCTCAAATCTCTTTTTCTCTGTCTTAAACTATTGCATAGTGTGGTTGTGATAGTTTTACTGGTTATGGTCCAAAGACACTTGTGAGGAAAGCACTGTTGTGTCCAGGTTAACTTGGAAATCCCTTTGATGTTGGTAAGAGGCGAGCACTGTAGTGAGAGTCTTATCTCCTGTCTCCAAGGTCCTGCGGTGACTTCTTCTCTGGACTAGGGAGAGGGTGTTATTTCTTTGGTTGAAATACAAAGGAGAACTTGGCTCAGGGTTAAGGACCTTGTTTTGTGAAAATCACTTTTCTCCTTAATTGGTAAAACTGAATTGATACTGCTACATCCCCATTAAAAAGAATTGTGCCATGCATCTCCAATCCACTTGATTTCATTCACTTGATCTTAGGAATTATAATACTCTTCCACCAAAAAAATAAATGAAGTTCAAAAGACAACTGTGAGAAGACTAAGGATTAACACAAATTTTTTCCCCTAGTTAAATTATCAATTCTGATGTCTAAAAAATTTTAAATTTATTTATAAGAAATTCTCTGATTTTCTGATTCTTCTTCAGTTATTTGAATGACTCAGAATGGTTCTGTCCTTCTTTCTGTCCCTTCTCCTCCCTCTACTCTTGGAAAATTCATATGGGTGAGTTGAAATTGGACTACACATCCCAAATCTTATTTTCTTCATTCCATTCCATACCCATAAGATATGGGTAAACAGGAAATATTAGGTAGTGAAAACCATCCAGTTATATCTCTATAGCGGGCCTTCTCAAGCCAGTGTGCCACTTTTGATTCTATGCTGAGAATCTTGTTTATTAAGTCATAAAAGTTAAGTAATATTTTCTTCATAGCCTATTCACCACATGTGGAGATCTTGCTCTTGACACCACATGTAGTATTTTTAGAGCAAAGAAACTCTACAAATACTTTTCTTCAGTAAATATTATATAAAGACACCAGTCTGAGCTCTCCGGGGAATGAAAAGGTGAGCAAGAGCTTGTTCCTGAGCTCAGGTTTTTACAGATCCGAGGAAAACTGTGGTAGCCACGTTTCAGGGTGGCTCTCAGGGGCCCTAAACTTGCGGTGTTACCAGCTCTGTGGGCCCTTCCTGCAGCAAACCATGGCTGTTCCTAGAGTCCTGTGAGGCGATGGTGGTGTCTGTCTTAGTCACTGTCTCGGAAAGTCAGCTGCCCATCAGGAGCCATGAAAGAGCTGACGTTTTATCCCATTTAGTGAAGTCACCCATCCGCAGCGTGATGGGTGGTGGTAGCAGACACGAGATGGGGAGGCTGAACCCTCAAAACGGTGGACGTGACCAGAGGACAGAGGATGGCCCAGCGCCCACACGCCGGGAAGCTTCTCACAGGCTGCAGGCGTACGGGGCGGTGCACTTAAGGTTTCAGGGGTCTGTTTATCTTATAATGGACCACAAACTTGCCTGATCTTTGCTTTAAAGAGACACTATTTTTATTATATAAAAAGTGGAACACCCTTGTACTTGTTGTGACGTGAGGGTGAAGAGGACGTGCTCAGTCCTCCGAGGTTATTTGGTATATAAACATCCTTGCAAAGGTTACTGAGAACAAAGCAAGTTTTCGGTTTTCACAAGCTGTGAGAGGCCGGTGGAAAATTCTCTCCCAGCACTGGAAAGCCACAGCACTGGCGGCCTAGAGAAAACCCCATGGGTCCTCCTGAGGTCTTCCTCCAGCGCCAATGGCTCGCTGACTCCAGGTGACCACTGCAAGCGCCCACACCAACCCTCGTGAAGGACCTTAAACCAGAGCCACCCAGGACACCAGTCCCCAAATCCTGGAACAGAAAAATTGTGAGGGCTGAGATCCTTATGTGGTATCATTAAATTGTGAGGTGGTTTGTTGCATCCTAACATATAATGAACACAGAGCTGTGCCTGAAAATTGGGTGCAATGGCAGCCAAAGTCCCGGAACATGTCAGTGGCTGTGGGGACAGCCCACAGGACAGGTGTTTGGGGCCGCGGGGAGCACAGCTCTCAGCAGAAGCCTGAGGTGGCGCTGCTGGGGAGGCGCGAAGGAAGGGCCGGCGTTACGCACGCAGGAGCAGTGTGGGGCAGAGCAGAAACCTGGCAGGGCCGCTGCCTACACTAACATGGAAGTGGAACGCGTCCCTCAGCGCCTGGGTGACCCACCTAAGGGGCCCTCCAGACACCGTCTGGCTTCTTCTTGTGGCTTGGAGTAAATCAGCGTCCATACATAGCTTTCTTGGAGATCCTTGAGAGCTATGTCACATGTTAACACATTTTATAAATCACAACGTCTCATGTCACATTTTGGAAGGCATGCTCTCCCGTATAAACTATGGTTCCTTACTTTAACATTATGAAAACGCCATCCTTCGAGGCAATGACGAAGGTAAGCACTGTTTTAGTTGTCAGGTGGGGGCATCCTGGGGTTCAGACTCAGTGCTCAGCCTCCAAGCCCCGACGGCCTCACAGCAAAGGAAAGGACGGTAGCTAGCTTTTATTGACTGCTTTCCATGGTGGGCTTCAAAGAAGCATGCGATTAGAATGCTTCGAGTTAAAGACACTGTGTCACAGTGATGGTGCATTCCCAGGCTGACGGCAGCCCAGCTCATAATAGCTAAGTCCCAGAAGCAGCCTGTCCGGCGGCAGGTGAACGGTAAGGAGAATGTGGTGCTTACCCACACAGGAGAACTACTCCACCCTAAAGAAGGGTAAACGAGTCATTTGCAGGGAAATGAGTACACCCTGAGGTTGTCATAGGTAAGTGAAATAAGTCAGGCACACAAGCTGACACATCTCGTGGTCTCTGTCGCGTGAGAAACCCGGAGTGTAAATAAAAGGCAAAATAAAGCTAGACAATAGGGAAAAAGGAGCGAGAGCTTTCCCAAATGGGAAGGGGACTAAGAGTCGAAGGAAGGTAGGGAAAGGAGAGAGAGGAGGAAAGAAGAGCGGAGGTGCCCAGCTCCCAGCCCCACGTGAGGAGTTTAAACGTTCGTACTGCAAGTGTGTACTGAGAAAAACCGAAAAGCAGAAACGGGGAGAGCCGAAAACAGAGAAATAAGACTTTCTTTAGGGCTGCATACCCTGTTCTCCAGGCCTCTGGATCAATGCTATGAGCCCACAGTAATACGAGGGAAAGTTTTTAAAAAGACAGGTGTTGAGCTGCAGCTACACAGCTGTTTTAATAGAGGGGAAATAGGAGGCCGCCAAGCAGAGGACCGTTGTTAGAAACTCTGTGAGAATTTACTTTCACAGGCAATTCACTTTCACTCTTCTACCTGGAATGATTACTCTGCTTTATTTGTAAAGGTCCAGAAAACAGGAAAACACTTGGCCAAAAAGCTCTTGAGGCGCCACCTTCAGTTTGGCCAGGCTGCCGAGAGGCTCGGTGAGCCCTGAGCAGGGCGACTTCACAGGGAGAGCGATTTGGAGGCCTGAGCAAAGCAGAGCCTGAGCGCCTTCCCAACCCCCTGCCGCAGCAGCCCCTGGCGCTAACCCTGCAAAGTCTTTCCGCACGCTTCCAACTCTGCGATTTTTTAGACAAATAAAAAGAAACAAGACAGTGACACTGCACGGTACATCCAGGTCAGACCATAACGATGGCGCCTGGGAGAGTTGATGTAATGAACCCCTATAAAGTCTCTCTTCTTTCCCTGTGGTCCAGAGAACTGAAAAGGCTCGAAGAGAGCTCGTGAGCAAGTGAACATGTGTGTGCACACGCAGAGAACAGGAAATGGGGAAGGAATTGCCGGGAAGCTGTGCGGCCTTTATTAGCTTGGTGGTGTAGTATCCGTCTTCAGAAAGATAACGTCGACTTCTAACAGAAACGCGTCAAAATGATAAGACCACCGGGAGAAGGGTTTTCATTTCTTTCTTAGGAGCTGAGTTTCTCATTCTATTCAAAGGAGTGCAGAATAGTCCACTGTAGGACTTAAAGCAAACTCTGGAGAGGCGCTACCCCTGTTTTCTGAGGAAACTTGGTGTATTATTCACCCTGGTCTCCTCCAGTCCAACCCAGGTAGCCCCTTCTTTGGAATTCCGGATGCTGAAGAGAGTGCCGTGGACACGAGCTCAGAAGCTGCAGGAAATACGTTGTAACAGAACATCCACAGGGCTTGAACATCAGGACAACTCGGTCTTGGCCAAGATTTGCCCGTCGCAGGACGATGGCTATGCCGGGCAGTGTTATGTGTGAGTGACTCTTCACTCCCGTGTCGTTATGTGCAGTCATTCTGAAAGCTCAGCCCTGCATCACCAGAGCAAGTGGCATAGTCTGAGGATGGGGATCTGCTGAGCCTCATGACCTTGGCAGTGTTGGAAAGGTTTTGGCTCTGAGTTATTTCACCCTGGTGCTGCGTTGTTTGAATTTCTTGTAGCTAAAATCTAAGTGCACAACCTTTCGTAGAGGTCATTTCTGTGGAAATTGAACACACATGTTTTCTTCTCTAGATAACTTCCTATGATTAACTATCACAATCACAAGTCATGTACAGTTGACATGACCAAGGATACATGTGTTCCGTGCTCAGAGGAGCATTGTTTTTTTTTTTTAAGTACAATTTATATTATGTGTATGATGGGGTGGGGTTTTTTGTTTTGTTTTTTTCTTGCTTTGGTTTTTTGAGGCAGCATCTCCCTTTGTAGCCCAGGCTGGCCTCGAACTCTCAGAAATCCTCCTGCCTCAGCCTCCTGAATGCTGGGATTACAGGCGTGTGCCACCACGCCCAGCTTGATGGGGTTATTGTTCTTGTTGTTCTTGTTTTTGTTTCAAAGGAACATAGGAACATGAAGGCCATGAGTTCGATCACTGGCTGTTGACTAAAACTGAACACTGCACAATACCACAGGTTCAAAGTGAATGCTTATAAGTATTCCAGGACAAAGGCAAGTTTTTGTTTCAGATATTTTAAGTGCATGCAGTATGTTGTGAAGGAGACAAAACTATCATGCACAAATGCAAGTGTTATAATGTTGAAGACGTTTTCTTTAAAAAGCCATGCTTATTTTGAAAATAATAGATAAGCAATCTTCTTCAAAGGCCAGAACACTAGAGAATTTTGTTGTTCTGCTGGCCTTTTAAATACTTCTGTGCATGTGTGTGTGTGTGTGTGTGAACAAGAGTTTTCTCAAGTAGAACACCTGAACACTTTTCACCCACACTACTTTCATGGTCTCTTTTTCACCCTTAACTTGCAGAGGAATCAGTTTTTAAAAGTTTTGCCAACTAAACAGTGTTACTAAGAAACCCTAAACCCTCTGAACCGTGGCCAGCCCTGTAGGTAAAACCCTCCTCACGGTTCCTTCTCTGACAAGACCAGACAGGCCACGGCCCAGCCCCTCCCTTCCGCTGCCTGCTAGCTCGGTCCCCTCCTATCCACCTGAAGTGCCAGATGTCCACAAGCCCTTCAACGTGCAGTGCTTCTGTGAAAAGAAGGGAAGAAAGGAGCCCAGGATGCTGTGGACTTATCTCCTTCCTGTCGCCCCTTCCTGCTCCCCTCTCTTCCGGTCAGGGGGAATCCGCAGGCCGGCGCAGCCTGGGCCCTGAACTGCAGCCAGGCGAACCCCTGCGCTGCTGCTCCGCTCCAGGTGGGCCTCGTTAAGTGGTTTTTGTTGGCGGCTGTGTTTATGAGGGCTCTGCAGTCACACCCTCCTTGCCAGAGTGCAGCTCAGCAAAATGTGGGTGTGGGAGAGGCGCTATGTGAGCTTTGTCCAGAATGCAGAGCTAAGGAAAATATATATTTTGGGAAACCGAGGAGACCTAATCTAGGTGAACCCTTCCTCACCTTAACCTTTGCCGTCCTGCCGAGATCCCGCAGCTGCTACACTCCCTCATCATTTTTTTCTTCCGATTAAGTAAACGGGGAAAGTACTGGGTCACTTGCTTCAGGACAGGTTTGGAAGTAGGATAAAAAAACACAAACACACAATAAAACATTCAACTTGAATTATTTTGCCCGCACCACCAAACCAGTCTGCCTCTGAGGAAACGTCAAAATAATGCAAATACTAGAATCCAAACAGTTCTTCCATAAAGGGGAACATCTAACTCTGAGGCATCTGAGCTTGCAAAGAATTCCTTCTCGGAGTGGGCACCAAGTAAGAGCAGTTACCGGCACTTAAATAAATGCAGTTCAGCACATCTGCTAATGAAAAGAGCCAAAACCCAGAAAGAACGACAGAAAACAACCAAAACCAAAACACCAGAGCCATGCCATGGAGAGCGGGAATGGTTGGTAGCAGATGAAATCCAGATCCCCGGGAAAGGGACATGTCCTGCACTCCCCGTGGTGTTGCACCACGGCGGTGACCAATGACTTAGAGCTGAACTAGGTCTGCGACATGAGCTGGCTCACGCCCTTCGTCTGCCAGCGGAAGAGGGCTGAGCAGTCAGAGGACACAGGGATGTCACATGGCTTCTCACCACCAAGAGTCGGGGTGGGAAGTGGTTTCTCTGACAGCCAGGTCAGCTCACCAAGCTCTGATTTTTATCTTTCAGCTGGAAGGAATTTGTTCTGCTGATAAAAGAGATGTGAAGATACAGAAGCCACAGACACCCAGAGAGAAGAGTGACAAAGGCTGTACGCGTGTAGTTCACCATATGCAAATTGAAGTCAAAAATTTCTGTGGGATTCGAAAGATGTGGAGGAGAAATTTGTCACAATATAATGATGCCCACTTTTCCACAACTATCATAAAACAGTGACTTACGAAGTCCGTTGAATCTATCAGGTGACTGTCTAAGGGTAACTGACTCATACCTTGGCGTGTACACCTTTCGGAGTGTGAGCTATACTCACTGGTGACAAGGAGCAAACTGATATTACAATAAAATTGTACCGACTTTAAAGTAGTATCTTTTGTTGGAATCGCTAAATGATAGCTCTGTTAAGTAACATCACTATTTCTAAATAACCAATAATGAGACAAATTTTATACGATAGAGCTCAGTACTGATTCTGCCCTCTGTATTTATTCTACTGGTCATCTTTGCACAAATGGTTAGGAATTGTGCTCTTATGTAGTCCTTTACGTACCTGAATGTAGTAAACTCCCTTAGACTCTTCTAGACTAATCTTTCGAAAGATTCTGCCTGTAAATTCAGAAATGTCTCCAGATTTTATAATCAGATTCGCAATTCAGTATCAAGTCACCAACAGAGATCTCTGTAGGAAGAGCACCACCAGTGGGCCCCATGTCAAAACGTATTTATATTTCCTCCTGCAGATACAGCACTGGTTTTATCATTTGTTCAAATGGAAAGACTAAGGGAAGGGCTCTCTTCCTCGCTTGATTTTAAAGCAAGCCTTCCTCATGAAATATGCAAAACACTCACTGAAAGCTTAGTCCCCTCCCTAAGCACCAGAAGTTGCATTAGAATAACTGAGAAGAAAAGCATAGCAATGTCTTAAAAAGTGGTTCATCTAATGGGGAGATGACGTAATGAGTGTATAATCAGCACGGGTTCTGTGAAAGTTAACCCACACTCTGTTAGAAATGAGACAACACTGGGGAGGAGATTAACCAGTCCCACCCAGAGGCCAACTGAAGATGAATCAAAGACAAAAGAAACAAGTTGAAAGGGAAGGGAAATCTATTATGATTGCTGCAAATAGAAAATTTCATAAACATCAATGTAGACATTCACGAAAACAATTGGTAGAAGATGTTCATACTTTATTGTACCCTAAATGGGGTTCTGTGGGAGCGTCATGTCTCATGTGTGTTTAATATTCTTTTTCTTAAAGTGCCAAGGCACTGTGATCAATTCAAATTCCTAAGAAAAAGCAACTTCCTCCAAAATGTGCTTAAAATACATCTGGAAGGATGACCACAGAGAGAGCCCAGCCACCAAAGGGAATGGATCAGACGTCAGCAACGCCAGGGAAAGTACGCAGGAGGGGAGCAAACTTCTAGAAGTCAAATGGCAAAAGTGCCATCCTCCAAG